CAGACTTGACGGTTTTTACACATAGGTCACAATTGACTTTCGAATGAGCCATATCCACTTGACGCGTGTACTTTGTTATTGTGACTTGCATCAATTCCAAAAGGGATTAGATAGAAAAGGGGAGTTCAGAATCTGTTGTAGATCGATCACTCACCGCTAGCTTAGAAAGGAATAATTCTTCGATGATATTGACTAGTCAGTTCAGCCACACCGCGTTCTTATTGGCTTGCCTCGCAGTGACTAATCAATAGTTCCTCACTCATGCTTTAACTCGTGTGTTATCTGACCTATGTTGCAGTGCTTCGCCCGATACACTTTGTTTCGTACTGTGTCTTGTTTTTGCCTAACTGCGGTCTGGGGGCGTGCTTGCTTGAATTCGTTACTACGTACTAAGGCCAACAGACTAACAGGGGACAATTGGGACACCGTCTATCTGTTTCATCACTTACCGTCTCAGTGATCGAATTGTCCAAAGTCTACTTCAATGGGAATCACGGTCCATGAGCATATATTTTCGACAAATTCATGCATGGTTCTTGACCTGGGCATTATATAAATTCGCCGAGATTGGACAAATGCCCTGGCGTAATATTGAAACAGTAATAAAAAAGCAAAAGAATGGTCGAAATCGCTCGCGAATGTGTGGATGTACGGTGTTAGCGTGAAATGTTTTGTGACATCGAGCCCCGCATGTAGGTGTCGTCCACCTTAAGGGATCCTCTCATTGTAGACACCAAAGTCGGATATGTCAAATTTAGTGAGACCCAGTGCCGAAATGTGCTTAGCGGAGGCTGAAAATATATGACCCCGGTTGTTGAGGATTCACGGGTGATGACATTTAATGCCGTAAAAAATGGCCAGCGCACAAAGCGGGCTATCGCTTCCGCATGAGCACCTACACCGTATTTGTCAATTTTAATTCGGTAGCTACGGGTCATTCTGTAGGTGTTGCATATTGCCACGTCGATTACATGTGCAGTGGAGTTCTAAATAGCGATTAAATCGGGCTTGATGTACGTTGATGCGGCTGGGATTCGGGGCTCCGGGATGATTTGGGCTCCTTTGCAACGAAGCGTGTTGTTTGGTTGCTTTACGGTATCATTGTGCCTGTGACAGCGACCACCGTGGGTTACTGCACAAGAATGCGGTACGTGAGAACGTGTTTCGCTTTGTCCGCAATCGCCCCGGCAGTGAAGATCGGTTGGGTTTGGGGGTGGTCGCCCCTTGGGGCATCTATATTTGGATGACAGTACCCCTGCTCGAAGTTGGGTTCATCTGATGTTAAGTCTGGGGAAAATTCTCTTAGGGTTTCTTACCCCGTTGAGAGAAGTTGATGTCGTAATTATCACCCGAAGCAAGCACCCGTCCAGAGATTGTATCATTGAGTTCTTCCATGCTTCCTTTGTGTCATTCTTGTCAAACGCGACTTGATTCTCAATGATTACGGGTTTCGTGGCAAGGCATTGGATGGTAGCCACCGAAGGCTCCCGTACTGCTCAGCTGATAATCGGATGGGAGAGTGAAAGATGACGTTCT